TAAAATTTGATGCTTGGGTGGGTTAGTCGACTAATTTTGTAAGCAGGGGTCATAAGTCAAAATATAATTGGAATTATTTCATTATTTGGTCAATAAACCATAAGTTTGATTGTGTATCATTATAACTGGGTTTGAACCTAATACTATAATGATCGACCTCTCCATAATTTTAGGATCCAAGGTTATTCATTTTAGTTCAACAAAATGGGAGTGTTAAACGCCACTCTCTTCCCTATTTATCTCAATATTATGTCATAGAATTTTATGTCCTAAATATTTATTAAAATAAATAGAAACAAATAAAAATAAATCATAAATTTAAAACTAAAAAATCCAACCATAATATAGTCTAAAGATCCATTGAGCATATCAATATGTAGCGCTTCTTACCTTTCCTCATTTTGCTTTAAAACGAACTATTCCATTTTGAGCCAACCTAATTTAAATCTTCCAAATAAACATGCTTGAAAATTTAACGTTTTGAAATACTTATAAATGCAAGAAACATATTTGATTGAGAGTTATTTTATAAGATAATTTTACTTAGTATCTAATTAATACGCGGACTTAACTCTTTAGGTTTTGCTATTTTAAATTTTATTATAAGTTTTAAGCCCCCTTTTGGTTTTTTTATTTACTTAGCAAGGCCACTTGTGAAAAATAGTATTTGGCTTATAAGAATATACCATAATATCCAATCTACAAAAAATAATGGCTCTAACATTTTGTCTAAATGGTTAGCCAACATATCGGAAGAAAGTAAACAAAACCACAATCAAACATATTCACTCGCTCAACTACCATAACCAAAGTCTAGAGTCGGTGACCTAACAATCCTTCTAATGTATGTGTGTGATCATTGAGGTGAGTTTGATCCAGTCCTTTTATTTGAGTATTAATATATATATTTTTTAGATTTAAATTTTAACAGTAGGTGATTCAAGTTCAAATGATTAGAATTTTAAGAATATATTTTGATTCTTATGCTTTGTTTGGATTAGCACTTAAGTTGTGAGGCGTTATATGACTAGAGTAGAGTGGCCCTCTTGAGAGAGGGTTCTATTATTTATAACTCTCTAACCCTAATAAGGTAGGTATCACACTTGAGTAGTGGAGCATGCCACCCAGAAAACTAAGGTACATTTGAGTGATTTTTAACTTCATTAATTGAGTTGGATTAAATTTTAGGATTTTAGAATTAATATTAAATGTTTTAAGTTTGAGTTTTGGTTTGAAGCAGATTAATTTTTTTGTTTGATTTAAGTTCGATTCAAGTTAATGTTTCATTAGTTTATATTAGGTATAGTTTGTGTTTGCTTAAATTTTTGGTGAACTTGGTTTGTTTTAAACTAAGTTGATTGGGTGTTTATGTGAGTATTTTAATTTAATTGAAATAACACTATCTAAGATATCCACAAAGAATTTGAGGCATAAGTTTAGGTTTTCGAATATGCTAATTAACCTTAAATCTCACTTAATTTCCATCAATTATGTCTTTTTTTTATTTGAGAAGAAAAATCAAGATAACAATAAAAACCTCATATCTTCATGGAATAACTTACTAAAGTCATAAGAATCCAGAGAATTTATCAATGAGAATTTGAGATTTTTTTTCTACCTTAAATTTTCTGTGATTTAATATTTATTTTAAATGGGCTAATTAATTAAAATGTAAACTAACTCCAAAAATTCTGAAAATGTTTACAATTAGGCTTGGAATAACATCCCAAACTTCCTATAAAATTTCAAAATAGTTGCACTTGATTTGAATGATTCATAAATTAATTATGGTTTAATTGAATTTTTATTAAAAATTCAAAAAATTATTTTAATTTTCTAATTTTATTTCTAATCTTAATATCATGTGGTTAAAATTTCATAATTTTTTGTGTATCAGACTAATTCCAAAGTTCTTTTAAATTTATGCAATTTTAGGGATTGCTTTCATTTGTGAAGAGGGAAAAGGAGGGGAATTATTCATCTTGAATCACCCCTACACTACTTCGGAGAGCTTGGTGTTTTAGAATGACTAAAGAAGCAGAGGTGCTGACTATCAAGAATGATCGCCTTTTGGTTGAGGGGTTTGGCTGTAACTTCATACTAAACCCTCTACCCAACTAAGAAGATGGCTCTAAGGAGGGTAAAATAGGTTGTAACTGCCTATACAAGTAGTGATCCTGGGTTTACTAGATTGAGAGGGATGCCTCTTTGTTTGGCTCAAGGATGAGGGAGTTGAACTTAGCTGGTTAGTTTTGTTTTGCAAGTTATCAGCTAGTTAATTCAATGAAATGAGAATGAGATGGTTTTCAAATCCTCGTTCAGATCTCAAACCTCTTGGCTCTGTAGGTAATTATCAAGGCTAAGGTTTTAGAGTTAGATTGGATTAACCTTAGCTTAGTGTTTTGGTTCAGCTATTTTTATGATTGAGCTTAGATTAATTTAGGATTAAACTTATTAGATTGGTTTAGTCAATCTTAAATCTTAGACTTACTTTAACTCGTGAATGTGTAAGCTAACAATTATATTTCATCTTAAGCTTGATTTGAATTTGTTGGAGTTATGTTAAATTTTGGTTGGTTTAAGAATTATCATTGTTTCATATTAGGAAAAAGTTCCAATTAATTATGCTCATGATGGATTCATATTGATTTTAGAATAAATTTTATGCTTCAAATCTGATTAGAATTTAGTTTTAGCTTAACATAGACCAAATTGATTTGTAAAGTGGTGTGATTGATAATGTTTGTTTTACTTCGAGTTTAGTTTTATTGAAGTTATGTTAAGCTTAATTTTAATTGATTTAGATTAATATTAAGTTATTATTAACATTAGTTTATCTTAGGATAAAGTTTAAATCTTAATTAGGGTTAGGTTAATGTTAGTTAAGCCTTATATGGAATTGGGTTTAAATTAAGTTGAACTTATCTTAGATTTAGCTTTAACTAAATTTCAATTTAGTATTTATATTTTTTTTGTTTGTATAAATGGTTTAAATTTGCATATCTTTAGGTCTATGCTAAATTAAATTTAAATTTAGCTAACTATATATTATTGGTTGAGTTGATTTTACGATAGGTTTAATTAAATTCTATTTAAATTAGGTTTACGAACTAATTGATTTGAGTTTAAGTTGTGGTTTAGATATTAATTATATTTGATTAGTTGTATTTAATATTTTAAGGTGTTTAAGCATGGATTAAGTTATGCTTTAGTTTTAGTTAATTTTATTTTTTAATTTCAATTTAGGCCAAAGCAAACTAGTCAAGATATCCATGGGCTAAATCGAACCACATCCAAGCCGAGCCTCGGTGCCCCTAAGTTTCAAAGTAGCCTAACTACTAAGCTCCTAACTACACAGGGTAAAGCTAAAACCTAGTGGAGTTCACCTAGGATTGCATGGCAAGGAGTGAGCTTTCTGAACCATAACTAGCTAACCCAAAACCAACATGTCCAAGTCAAAACCAAATACTTAAGGACACTAGAGTGAAACCTACGTCTAGGAAAGAGAGTAGTTAGAGCTAGCAGG